ATATATGCATGCATATATATGTATATGTATGTATTTGCACACATGTATATATGATGTGATATTTACCTCTCATTCAGTCAAATATTTATATATATATAAATGAGAGGTAAATATGACATCATGAGGTGAAACCACTCATAATACCACGGTAGTTTGTTGATTCTTTATTTGCCTGAGCTCTTATGGCAAGGACTCCTCCGTGAAGGTAGGCTGCTGTATTTGGCACCCAGATGGGGGAAGTAGATCCTTGGAAGATGCAATGGTTGTCCTTAATCATCCTACTAGAAAACCATCCATCCAGTCATCCATCCCACTGAAACACAGACAATTAAAACAACAACAAAATCACTGTACTTTGTTAAGGACAGTTTTGAGAGGCAAATTAGCCAAACATGTTTTAAACACTAAAAAGGTGCCAAAGAAAACCCAGACAAAACCCAAACCTGAAACCTTCTTGCTAATAGGCAGCAGCACTGGGTTTGGCCATTTCCTAAAACATATCACTACCTCTATAGAATATCACAATATCATTACTTGTACAAGGCTGCCTTCCTCCCACATGACATCTTGTTGCTATGTGTTCCCCAGATAAAAGATTCATGCCCCTACCCCAACCCCCCAAATCACACAACCTTCACATGTAAAAGAGTGGTTATAAATCCGCCCAGAGCACATTTTTCTATGCTCATATTCTCATTGTGAATTTGGTAGACCTGGGTAAAAAAAGCAATAGATTTTTTTGGGCCTTTAAGTTGTTATTGCATAGTCAAGAACATAGTAATCCTGCACATAAACAACTTAAGTGTTGACATTGTCTTGGAAAAGGGGGCAGAAACTGTCACTAAGTCGTGGTTTGAAAATATTCTGGAGCCCTTAAATATAAAATAAATCCGGGGCACCTGTATGTAAATTTGGTCTTAAGAGATTTAACACCACTCAGTTCCTCTTAAATAAAATCCTGATTTACACATATTAGCTGATAAAGCTGTCCACCATTAAAGTTATTTGGGCTACTAACCTGAAACAGAATGCAGCGACAGCTTCTTTGTGGTTTTTGCTCTGTCTTCCATCCTTAAGAAAATAAAGTTAGGATGCAAACACACTTTTGGCCTGATATTCAAAGATTCCAGATAAGAGGGGTTAATTGCATAATAATTTTTAGTATGTGTAATATGTGGGAGTGTTTCGAGTAAACTACAAAGATTGCTGCACAAATGTTAAAGCAGCAAAATGATTTGGTTCCACCCATGATAATTAGCTGATTGCTGACAGTTTTACAGTGGCTATAAAAGAAGAATGAGGTTCAAAGCTATGTAGATGGAGGAAATAATAATAATTATTAAACTGAAATACTGATTATACTAGATGACTTTCATAGTGCATTTCATAGCCTTTCAAAACACTTTGAACAAAAGTAAAATATAATAAAACATCCCTATGCTCATGTAAGGTTAAGTTTTATAGAGGATGAAAAAAAGTGTGGGAAGAGATGTGCACAATATGTCATTTTGGATGTGATTACATATACACTAGGGATGGAATGGTTTATGTAAACCGTCCGAACCGTTCGGTTCGACTGTCTCGGTTCGATTCACGTGTGTTGCTTTCGGTTCATGCGCTGCTCCTTTTTCTCATAGGCGAAGCGTGTACACTCCAGAGCAGAAGGTGGCGGAACTGCGACCAAAGCCAACCACCTGTAGTAAACAAGAAGAAGAAGCGAAGCAGCTTAGCTGGGTGTAGCAGAAAAAAATCAGTTGTTGTGGAGAATTGTGTGGGTATGGCGAGTGGGAAAGAACAGGAGTTGGAAGACGCGCCAGCAGCACTTTATAGGTCTGCTGTATGGGACCACTTTGCATTTAGAGTGACCTACGATGACGGCGGAAAGAAAGTTGTGCATAAAAGTGCAACAGTGTGCAAGCATTGTGCAAGACGTTTTGTTTATGCTAACAGCAACATGACCAACATGTCAGGCTAACAATCAACATTTACCAAACCGAACTGAAAACCGTGACCACGAAACCGTGAACCGAACCGAACCGTGGATTTTGTGAACCGTTCCACCCCTAATATAAACAGGAATTTAAACTGCTACAAAGCTGTGGAGGGTGAAGAGTGCCACAGTACATTACGTACCTACTCAAATAATTCTTTAATTAAATATGCCTTTGAATGATTACAAATGGAAATTGGATACATAATCTTTATAAATATATATGATTAATTATATGGGCCTCTCATATGAGATTTAATACAAATCTGGAGCAACAGTGGCGTTGGATGCAGGAGTTTGCCTTGCAGCCAGAGGGTTGTCAGTTCAAGCCCCAACCATCGGGGCTTCAATGCCATTGTTCCTGAGCTGCAGTGGCCATAATTTAGCTTACTACCATTAGTGTGTGTGAGAATTCATTGTAAAGTGCTATGGTCAAATCTTCAGACTTGAAAAAGGATTATGAAATCATTTAGCATCTATTTCAGACCAAACTATGGATATTGAGGCTGGAATTATGCACCCAATGGGCTGTATATACATTCTGACCTGCTTTTGAAGTTGTTTCCATCTTTTTCATTGATTATATTAACTTTAGGGTAAAGAAAAAAAAAAAGTATAAAGCAGCCAATCAGACGGCAGACTTTCAATGGAAGCTTTCCAGGTCCCGCCTCCTTTACTTTGATATATGGGTGACAGTTTAAATTAATCCATGGTGTGCTTCACTGCAGGAACATGAAATAATTATACTGACCTCTCAAAAAGAAATCAATATATTTAACTGTGGCCCATATAATGAAATATTTTATATTTATTTACACTTGGTGGTGGTTTTCAAAAGCTTATAGAAATCTAAAACCAACAAAACTGGCTATCCATTTGTATTCTGGCCTCTTTACTCTGCTGCTGCTAAATAACATAAAATCCAACTAGTCTATTATTACTAAAGGCACTTTAAATACTTTCATTTAGATTTTGTACACAGTGATATTCAGCAGGAACACTCCAATCATCTCTGAATCAACAGTAATTAGTCAAACTTAAGTTTGGGAGCTAAAGAAACATGTGTTCCAAAGATTTTAAACATTTTTTTTAAGTGATTCAAGCAGTCTGACAGTAAGTAAACCTGTGAGTTGTAGTGGTGTTAAAAGCTTGTTTGGTTTTCTCTGTCAACTGTTTTATTACTTCACTGAACAGTCTGTGACGCTTTCACTCACTTGCTTGTGTTTCTCTTGTGAAACATAATCTGCAGTTATGCTCCAAATAAGAAACAGGAAATAATTTGAGCTGAGTTCTTCCATTTGTCACCAGTGCATTGTGGGAGCTAGGCGTGAGTGCGTAGGAGGAAGAGGTACCACAGTATCCAGGGGCCCATCTGGGCATTATGCGCATGAAGGCTCCACCCCGTCATAAGTTGCCTCTCCGTCTGTCGAAGCAGCTCGGAGACACGGCATGGCAGAAGTCTGTTCCTCCCCGTTCACCATGGGGGTGGCAGTTTAGATGAGGTTGAGTTTTTTCTGTCTTCAGTATTTGTGTTTGCCACGGTGGCCTTGCAATCGTAAATGATTGCAGGAGTGTCTCCACAGGTGCACAGTGCAGTCCCGGCCTTGCACGCCTGCGAGTGGACACCGTAGTAATTCCTCTATGTTATGAACATCGGTCGTTTTCAAATGAGCCTGTTGTCCTGGTGCCCGGTTAAAGAAGCTCCTACTCTCTGGTTCGGTTTCCCGTTGCCCTGCATTGCCTCCCTCGCTGTGGTCTTTGTGATGAATTCTCTGACCTTGGCGAGAATGATCCAATGGCAGACTGCTACATGGTAGGGGCACAGAAGCTATTATTTTGAGTCAGTGCAGGATATACTGCCAATATTTCTTCTTAACAGGATGGGGAGGGGGGAGCTGTCTGAAATCAATT